GCTTTGCTTATAAAATATTGGATTCTCAGAAAAATGCTGAACTCCATTATGTTCCCATGCCAATTTTAGTTCTTAATTTTACCTATCTAATTGCATCCCATTCAAAAATAGCAATTTACAAAATCGAAATTTCTTACCTAATAGATCCTCAAAAATATATCGAGCGGATCGCTCTCCTTTAAAATGTGAAAAAGTAAGCACCACTCAAATTTTGTAGTTATCAATGGATATGAGTACTCGAATTGATGTTTACCATTCTCACATGACCAAAGATATACATTCTGATTATTAATTTGACCAGTTCTTGCTAAAATACTTCCACCGCATTTCTTGGCATATTGTTATATGCTGTCAAATTCATTATTGGAAATACTAATGAAATGTATTGATCTAGAGGGATGATATTTTTGTATAAATTTATCAGGTGGATATTCTACTTCTTCAGGATTCTCGATTATTTGGAACCCTTCTCACTTGAATGGTCGATATGGATTGCGATCCATCAAATGAGCTGTAGATTCAATGGGTTCATTCTCAAGATAATATAAGACCAGCTGTGGTGGATTCTTACCTACAATGACTTTCTCGATCCTATATAAACACAATAAGAAGTACAGATCAGTTTTTTTATGCATATGTCCTCCTTATAACTCACCTGGTTTTAATAAATATCTTACAATCATTTTTTTTTGTAATCGTGGTTTATCTTTCCCAATAGGTCTTTTAGGTTTGATAATTACTTTGGGAATCACTTCCTGTAACTTTATTGCATATTATGGAGATACCTAATAATCGTGTTTTATTATTATTCATATAGTTGATAATTTTTCGAAGTATCTTATTCCATAATTTAGAACGTTCACCTTTTTTGAGTTTACCCTCTATAGCATATTGAATTTATATATAATTTTGACTAAATCTTGTTTGAATTTCTTAACCAATGCTAAGCTCTCAAAGCTATAAAGATTGATAACTCTTATAGGGACATTATAATGTTCCATCACTCAAGTGAATGCTCATTTAAACTCTCCTGCACCATCTACCATCAACAATGCTGGCAATGTGAGAGGATTTTTGGGATCATTATATATTTTTTCGATCGCGTTCCAAACTTCTACTCTATTCTTTGATGTCAACGCTACTGCACATTTAAATCTTGTCACCATGTCTAGCAGCACCAAAGTGTGTAAATACACTTTTCTTCTTTTCTGATCATCATAAATATTAGGTAATAAATCATATTGGTGTAATTTATTAGAAATTCGACATTTAGAAAAATTAGCTTGAGCCTTTATCTTTGATGGATGACGATACATTTGATAATCATATTGATTTTTTAATCACTTTGTTATATTTTTGAGTCGAAAATGACCATACCCTTCTTTTTTGTATGCCTTTTGTAGAGCTTTCACATTCGAATAAAATCCAGGAATATTATAATAGAGTGCACGACAAACTATAGCTACCTCAGTATATGGATTTATATATATAGTAGGTATACTCATTTTGGTTATACCTTTACTTTGTATCAATATATTTTGCTATAATAAAAATAGCTATGGTATTTTGTTGACCATATCCCAATAAAATATCTTGTGAGTCAGCATCTAATTGGGAATTGATACTGGAACATGTAAATCAAGTTTTGAGAGATGAGTTATTTCTTCTCAAAGAAGCTCTCCAAGTTTATGTAATTCAGAAGAGGAAGATATAGATATTAATATGGAGAATCTTAACCTTTTTATACAAATCGTACAAGGCTTAAATCCCATTAAAAATCATATTCAAGGTGGTGGTACTCCATTAAATAATCCTATTAATATTATAGAAGGTATTAGGGATTCCTTAAATACTGTTCAGCATAATTATCAGTCTGCATATCAGGATATAAATGGTGTTATCACTCAACGAGATGATAGAAATGCTCAAATAGTCTAGCTATAAAAGGATGTCAATTTCTATAGACAACACAATACCAACCTTCAAAATCAAGTTAATCATCTTATTCATAATAATTTTTAGAACCAAGTCAATCAAATTATCCAAGAATGAGAAAACTTATGAAATCAAGTTAATCAAATTATCAAAGAGCAATATAACTTATGAAATCAAGTTAACTGACTTACTCAAGAACGTGACAATTCCCAGAATAATTTTACTTTAATAATAACAGTTTATAATAATGAATAGAGGGATTGTCGTAGCTGTTGGGAGATTGCCCAGAAAATAGAAAATGGGATGCAAACATATATTAATACTTTATTACTTGATAAGTTTGTACTTAATTTTAAACTTCAGAGGTGCCAAGATATGATAGAGAATTGCAATGAAATATGATATACAGGAATGTTTGTGATATAATGCAAGCTTGATATGGGATGAACAGTCTAAACTCAAATGTACTCTCAAAATTATTTTTAAGGTATCTATTTATCAGTTAGAACAGGAGCTATGACAATGTCAGGCTGATAAAGGATTATTAGAATATAATCGAGACCGGCTATTTGATAGATATTACAATAAATTCAAGAATCAGAAGACAAGTCCTATCAAGTGGAAAAATCGAGAGCATAATTCACAGCAATTAATTTTAAATTTACAAGCCCAAATTTTATTACTATAGAATAATCTACTAAATATGGCAGAAGCTAGATGCTTACTAGTAATAAAATTTATACAACTGACTCTTGCAAGTTTCTCACCTTATATTGGTCACAAACCTACTGATGATTATTTTAATAAGGTTATACAATCATGGACATTTGCTGAGGGGCATATGGCAGTTCTTTAAAATGCAAATGCAGTATATTTTGATAATGCATTCAAGTATACTATCTTAAAATCTAAGATGGCTAGAAAATATGCTCCTGTATCAGCTAATAATCTATATATTGTTGGTAATCCCCCCATTAATACTCCAACAATTTTGAGGGAATGGGCAAAAACAAAATATAAATGAGAAACAGTTTGAATAAAACATTCTGCAATTCAAAGATTAACTCAAGAAAGATTTCAACCTTTTAATACTCCAGATACCTACAAAACTAGAATTCGACCTCTTTTGTTAGGTATACCCAATAATGATGCTCAAGTCTTAGGATTTCTTAAAAGTCAATTATCAGGTGAGTTTTTCACTTGGATGAGATCTGATGCTCCATTAGGTATTAACAAATTTTTTATTGTATTAAAAAATATGTGGTTAGAATGTACTCCAAACCTGTATGGATGATCAAATTTTGATTAAGTCTTATCTATTAGGTCAGAGGCTAGCTTTTCAGCTAATATATTACCTACAATTTCTCAGCCAGAAACCAGCTCACACCAATTACAAAATAAATCTATAATACCGGTACAATCTCAACAGAAATGATCTAATTCCGATGATTATCCTAGAGTACCAGATAAATATATGCCAGAAAGGCCTCCAGATGGGTATGGCGTAAATTCTGAAAGATTTATTCATGCCGATATCATAAATCCAATTCCTTCAACCAGTCAAATTATGGAATCTCTAGCTAATGATCTTTATAAAAATTGTCTGATATGTTTTTAGCGAAACCAGTGCAATTAAAGAATAAATATACCAGAACTGATAATATAAATGAAATTACTAAAGATATGTCAAAATTATCATCAAATTTAGCAAAAATGGCAAAAGAGGTTAATGCCGTTAAGAAATCATCTCAATATCATTGTTCAAATTGAATAGGATAAGATATAATTCTCGAAAATGCCATAGAAAGAAATCTAAAAAATTCAAAAGATCTAGCAAGAATAAAAAGAGTAAGGTTAATATAGCTACCAATGATTCTGGTTCAGATACAAGCTCTTCTGATAATTTTGATTCTGGATTGGAATCTGGGTCACACTCAGATTCTGAAGAGTCAGAGGCTGAATCTGATTATAATTATAATGTACATATTTCTAATACAAAAAAAAAAACAAGTAAAGCGAAAGAATAAATCTGATAAATTGTCCTCTAAAAAGAAGTCTAATCCAAAGAAGAGACAGAGTATCAAATCTCTGATTCAACGTACTTCACAAAAATCACAAACAAAATCAGGTACAATTATCAATGCACAAATCTGAAAAATTATTCTAGCTATGTTTAACGATTCAAAGGTTATAGAAACAATTAAAAACAATATCTTTAGTTTTATTAAAACTTCTACGAATAATATAATTCCATCTATTATGAATTCAGATTTTATAAATTATCGAGAACCAGCCCCAGAAATACCTGATTCAGATGGAGAAGAAGAGATATTAAATGATCCTATGGAAATCGATTTTGTTCAAAGAAAGGATTCCGCTACAGATATTGCTACTGTGAAATGTAAAATTAACCGTCTAGTTATTCCCGCAGGTGGAATCGATTCACTTGCTAATTTCCCTATTATGACTGAAGATATTGCTAAGCGAGCGAAATTGAAAATTAATCCAGACGATAAACATAAGCTTAGTGGAGTTGCCACTTATACCGAATCAATTAGAACCGTACATAATGTACCAGTAACCTTTGCTCCAGGTTGTGTTATACATTCTGACTTTGCAGTGGTTATATATCGCAAACCAATGTTAATTTGCCCTAACCCATTACTCGACAAATATGATTATGATTTACTTGCATCAAAACGGTTATTGAAACTTGTATTTAATGGTAAGGAACATTTTATTCCAATTAATATGCATGAGGTCAAGAACAAACTCGAAGTAAATTGCGCTACCGCATCTCAGGATGATAAGTCATTGGTATCCGATCAAATTTTTCAGAAGATAGATAGTAGTGAGGATGACAATATACCGTTCAAAAAATGGTGTGCTCCTGCAGGCTTTAGCCTAGATTCTGACATTTCAACTTTAAAAAAAAATGCGTGAATTGTGAGGAGTATAAGAAAGAATGTATGAAGCAACTAAAATTATTAATAATCTCAATTCCTTTATTCAATATCGTATGGAATTAACCAGTAAAATAGAGAGAGGAATGGGTAAAGTTGAATCTATATCTCATCGATTTTATTACCCGAATTTGTTAAATTTCTCTTACCTCCTTCTATAGCATGTCTAAGATGAGCAACTGCCTCTGCATCTATTTTTTCTGTTGAGTCCTCTGAAATAACAGGTGAGTTTGATATTTGAACAGATTTGGATCTCTTTGCTTTTGTTCGTTTACTTGATTGTACTGACTCTACTGATACACTATCTATAACAGAACCATCTGCTAGGCAATTCTCTAAATTATGACTCTTTGAGACTAAAGGTTTGGACTCTATATGGAGGACATTCATGGAGGAATTGGACATATTAGTGGAGCTAGTGTCTTGAGTCGAAGACTCGTGGCTTTGCCACTGATATTCAGTATTTTGATATGTTGGGGACGTAAAATTAGAGACATCATCATATGAGTATGGTATAGGCTGATCCCATAAAACTCTATT